ACAGAATATTCTGTGGTAGCTGTAATCGGTAGTGGTAATTCAATAACAGTAAGGCTGAAAGCTTTTCCTATTACAAAGTCAAATGCGTCATTTGTGACGCTTCTGTTTAACTCGTTGCCAACGTTACTATGATTGGGAAAGCAAAAACAAAAAAAAATCTGAATATAAACATTAAGAAAAATAATGGGGCTGGGAAGGTGGCTCAGTGGAAGAGTACTTGTCTTGCATGCATGAGACCCTGGGTTTGATTCCTCAGTACCACATAAGCAGAAAAAGCTGGAAGTGAGCTATGGCTCAAGTGGTGGAGCACTAGCCTTGAGCTGAAGAGCTGAGGGACAGCGCCCAGGCTCAGAGTTCAGGCCCCACGAATGTAGCTTAGCAGTAGAGTGCTTGCCCAGCATGCATGAAGCCTGAGTTTGACTCCTCAGTACCACATACACAGAAAAAGCTGGAAGTGGTGCTATGGCTCAAGTGGGAAAGTGCTAGCCTTGAGCAAAAGCAGCTGAGGGACCGTGCGCAGGCCCTGAGTTCAAGCCCCAGGACTGCCCCCCCCCCAAAAAAAAGGAAAGAAAGAATAATAATGGTGTCAGTTTTGTTTTTTTGTGCTGGTCCTGGGGCTTGAACTCAGGGCCTGGTTGCTATCCCTTGAACTATGGCCCCACTTGAACCAAAGCTCCACTTCTGGCTTTTTGCTGGTTCACTGGAGATAAGCATCTCAGGGATTTCCCTGCCTGGGGTGGCTTCATATGTCTCCTGGTGGCTAGGATTCCAGATGTGAGCTAGGTGCCCGGCATGGTGTCAGTTTTAATAGCTCTCCATACAATGATTCAGCAAATTTAGGCACACACAAAATAGACATAAAGATGTTTGGAAGCAAAATGTTACAATTTCAAAGATCTCATGTGCAAATTCATACACTTGAAACCCAAATCCTTATTCTGAGCTTACAATGGTCACCAAATGACAATTACAATAGCAGCTGGCCTAAAAGAAAACACAGCCTCTAAGTCGATCCATTTTGTTCTTCAGGGACACATTTCAAAGCAAAAGCCGTCATTACCTGCACAGAAGCCTCTCCTGCCCCAGAAAAGATCCTACCCGCTGCCACTAAGCCCATCCCTGCCCTGCCAGCTCAGCCCGCTGACAAAAGACTGTTTCATCAAAGTGCTTTGAAAGCAAAGACTTTCCTCCACTACCTTCACATGGTGGAGAACCAGGAGAGCAGAGTTTACAGACACTTAAAATGTTCCAGTAATTGTAACTTTTAACAAGAATGCTCTACAAAGACTTAAGCTACTTAGATACTTAGTGTCCATTGCTAAGTGAGAAACTGTAGCAGTTGTAAGGCGTTGTAAACAGGATCTTTTTTAAAGTTGTTTGAGGAAGCCTGATCAGTTGTGGGTGGCACACGTGCACAAACCAGTACTCCGGTGCTGGTGGCTCACGCCTGTAATCCTAGCTACTCAAGGGGCTGAGATCTGAGGATCGCAGTTCAAAGCCAGCTCAGGCAGGAAAGCCCATGAAACTCTTATCTCCAATAAACCACCAGAAAACCAGAAGTGGCACTGTGGCTCAAGTGGTAGAGCGCTCGCCTTGAGCTGAAGAGCTGAGGGACAGCGCCCAGGCCCGGAGTTCAGGCCCCATGACCAACAACAACAACAACAAGAACAAAAGCCAACAAAACAGACACAAGCCTACACATGATGAAAATTCCGATACACCTGCTAATCCATCCACATAAAGGCACAGACCTACTCCCTGCGTTACTCAGTAATAAATATGCATCGCAGACCTCCAATATGCCAGGTACCACAGTGGGCACACAGCACAAGAGGCATGTCTGGGCTTCGCAGGGGAACAGATTCCTAGAACATTAAATCCATGAGAAAGGAGTCCTGTCTGCCTATCCCATCCTGCGGCTGGCCAGGCACTGTGGCTCCTAGGTGAACACCTGGCTTACAGAAGATAATACATTCTTGAGAAATGAACAAGCATTACAATCTGTTAAGAGGTTTAGCACCAGGAGCGACATGTAACTGAGGGACACAAGGCGTGCTGAGTATGCGCACTAGCACACATTAAACCTTGGGTTGTTTCTTTCTTTAACAAGTTGGAGAAGAGATGCTCCTTTCTCTACACTGCCAGTCATTCTTAGAGGAGCATATTCACAAGCTTTTTTTCCCTTTTCTTTTCCCTCCCCCCCCCCTTTCTCCCTCTCCTTTTGGTTGGTTGTGAGGCTTGAACTCAGGGCCTGGGCACTGTCCCTGAGCCTCTTTGTGCTCAAGGCTTGTGATCTCTCACTTGAGCCACAGCACCACTTCCAGTTTTTGAGTGGTTAACATGTATGAGCCACCAGCACATGGCTTTTTCTCTTTCTGTCCTAGGACTTGAACTTAGGGCCTTGCATTCTCACTTGTTTTTTTTTTTTTTTCACTCAGGCTGGTGCTCTACCACTTGAACCACACCTCCACTTCCAGCCTTTTGCTGGTTAACTGGAGATAAGAGTCTCACGAACTTGTCTACCCTAGCTGGCTTGGAACTGAGATTCCCCAGATCTCAGCCTTGTAAGTAGCTATGATTATGCGAGTGAGCCAGCAGCACTGGCTCTTCACAAGCTTTCATAGTTGGAACTTGCTATCTACTAAGTCAAAGTCTCCCCTCCATGCCACTGTTAGTTGCAATATAAAGGGTTATGGCAAAGGTCATTATGATCATGGGTTGCAAATTCCAACTACAAATTGGCAGTAAGGAGGTTCAGAGGTTCACTGATGTTTTTAAACCTCAAGATCTGATGACTCCTCTTTGATCAGAGGCGAAGGAGAATTCCACGTAACCCCAACCCATATAGCTTCTCAGCAGACTGAACTGTTCTAAAAGGTTGCGCCTGATAAGGGGGGAGGGAAGGGGGTGTGGGTGGAGAAACACCGGGCACTCCAGCACCTGATGGAAGAATGCCACAAACACAGTAATCTTGAATGAGTGCCTTGGTTCAATAACTACTTAAACGAAGCTCCTGTTATGCTATGTATTATATGCTAAATGTGGGAGATCAGAACAAAAAAAAGTCATGTGCTTAAAAGATGTTGTATGCTTCTTAAATACAGGCGAGAAAAAGCTCCAATCTTGATGATACCAATTGTTTTTACTAAAGCAAATGTTGCAAATTGAGGTTGCTTCATTAGTCCTGAATTAATATCAAAGTAGGCCATCAATGCTTCTGGGACAAGCCTAAAGTATGCCTGCTAGAACTTATGACAAATATGAAGACTCTGACCAGCATGCAATACGGAAGCCCAGGTGAACCACTTGGGTTGGAACTATCAAAAAAGTAAGTCATCTTCTCCCCAACAGAGGTGCTTGCTTCCTTTGTTTTTGTTTCTTCTAAGTATGAGTCCCTCAAGTCCACATTTTTTTTTCTTTCTGCCAAGTTCAAGGGTAGCACGAACACACACTGAGGTAGCCTGCTGAATAGTGAACTAAATAAATGAGATGTTCATTTTCACTCCAAGTTCCAAGTATAAATAAAACTGATTTTCACAGAATAGTACAAACAGAAAAACCCTTATAAATATTCCTGAGGACTGAGTGCCAGGATTAAGGGTGTTTGCTCTAGAGTTTCAAGTGAAACATTAGCTCCTGGAACAATACCTATTTCTACCAATAACAATTCTTAAGATTGTCCAACTGCTCTCAGTGACATTTACTGGGGGAGGGAGGAATTAAATGAGCATCTGTGTTATGAACCTGTGTTCGGCACATCAGGGGTCTCTAATTACAAATTCTTACTGGGTAATATGTTAAGGGGAAGGGAAGACAGTTCTGTCCTGGCCCTTCACTGAGAGTTGCTCTTAAGATTGTTTTTGGAAGACACCACAAGCAAGTAAGTCAAAGTAGGCTAATATGCACGGGGCGCGCTTGCAGGTGTATCAGTATTAGGGCTTGAACCCAGAGATTTGCGCTCTTTGCTTGGCTTTTTCACCTCCACTTCCATTTTTTTCTTTTTTACTGGCTAAGTGGCCAAGAGTCCCTTGGATTTGTCTACCTGGGCTGGTTTTCCAGCCTTGACCATCTGAACTGTCCGGAAAAGAGAGCTTCCAGGCGCCCAGCTCAGGCCAATTTTTAGTGGCAGTCAGAGACGCCAAACTTCAGGCGGTGCCCTTAAATCATTTCGTTTGCCCTCCGGTGAAGCATGCATAGCAATGACGTGGAAAGAGAGTTTAAGATCCAGCTGAAAATGCAGTCAGCTGGGATGGTCAGGAAGGGAGGGTGTGAACAGTGCCAGCGGCTCCCCAATTCTGGGAGTGTGGGGGGTCAAACGCACTCGCTCCCACATTTGTTTTAGGCCAGCCGCTTAATCGTTTAGTCTCCACTTTCTTCCTCTGGGAAACGAGACAAGGAAAAGTTACTTTTCCCTGGAGCGCCGGTGTGGATCCGGGAGGGCCCTGCGCCCCGGGGCGCGCGCGCGCGCGCAGACCCGCACCCCACGCACCGCCCGCTACCCCGACCCCAGCAGCAGCTGCCATCCAACGGCCCCGGGGTGCCAAGCAAGGGGACCAGCCTTTCCTCTGCCCTGCCATCTCGAGCGGGATACGCGGGTTCACCCCTTCTCGGCGTCGGGGACACGCGCCCAAGATTACAGGGGCTTAATCGCGGAAGAGAGAGCTTAAAACGGGGCCCGGAGCGCGCTCGCCCTGGAGGCGCATTGGCGATGTCCGGGGTGAATGCGGTGGTTCGGGGTGCAGCTCGGAGGCGCACTGGCGATGTTCAGGGTGAATGCGGTGGTTCGGGGCGCAGCTCGGAGGCGCATTCATGATGGTTCGGGGTGCAGCCCCCGAGGGGCACTGGCGATGTTCGGGGTGCGGCCCCGCCTCCCGGTGTGCGCGCGCCGGACCCGGGCACCGCGGACCCCGAGTGCACCGACGCGGCCGCGCGTCTTCCGCCCGCAACCGCCCAACCGCCCGGCCCCCCCGGCCTCCGCGGGCGCCCGCGCCTCGCCTCACCTTGCTGGAGGTCCCGGTGGTCGTACCACGGCTCGTCTTCCTTCATCTCGAACTCCTCCACCAGGTGGTCCGCCAGCATCCCGGCGGGCTCCTCGGGGGCCGCGGCCGCCGCCGCCGCCGCCCCGGGCCGACTCCCGGCCCCGCCGCCCTCGGCCAGAGCCGCCCTCGGGCGGGGCGCCTGGCCCGCCCGGCCTCCGCTGCCCGCCGCCGCCACCGGCTTCCCGACCCCGCCGCCCGCTTCCCGCCTCGCGCCTCACCACAGCCCCAGCTGCGCGGGGAGCCCCGGGCCGGCGCCCCAGCCGGCGCCCAGAGCCCGGGAGCCGGCTCCTCTCCCGCAGCCCGGCCCCAACGTGGCACTTTGGCAGAACCCTCCCCGGCCGGGGCTGCAATTCAAACCCCCGGCGGCGCCTTGACCAATCGCGAGCGGGCCGCTGCGTGAGCGGCAGCAATCTCGCCCAATGGTGTCTCACCGAAGACCCGCGGCTCCGGAGCCATCAGCCAATGGAGGCTCGGAAGGAAACAAAGAAGGCGGGGAAAGGGGGAAGGGGTGCGGTCGAGAGCCCGCCCCTCCTCTCGGGCGGTGTTTCTTTTCTACTCGGAGTTCGGGGTTCCCACGTGAGGCCGCGGCGGCCTCCGCGGCGCCGTGGCGGGCGAGCCTCCCGCGCGGGGCCGAGGGGTCCGGATAACAGACTCGGGACTGGCTTCGAGCCTGGCTTCTCAGACCTCAGCCTCCCGAGGAACCGGGGTTGCAGGGAGCCGCCGCCGCGCCCGGCGATGCGTGAACTGCGCTTCCCGCAGACGGACCGCCAGGGTGACAGCTCCGCGTTCTCCCCCGGGATGGCCGGGCCAGGGCTCGGAGCCTCACGCCTCTTATGCCAGCTACTCCGGAGGCTGAGATCTGCGAGTCGCGGGTCAAAGCCAGCCCGGGCAGGAAAGTCCGGAGGACGTGGGTACAGCGCCCAGGCCCTGAGTTCAAGCCGAAGACTGCCGTGTGCGCGCGCGTGCGCACTCACACTCACTCACATACATACACACACACACATACACTTACATACACACACACTCACACTCATACACGCACACACATACACACTCACTCACACACATACACACTTACACACATACTCACACACATACACACTTACATACTCATGCACACTTATACATACACATACACACACTCACACACACATACATACACACACGAGGTTGATGCTTTAGAAACCTATCAGAAAATGAGAAGAGAGAGGAGGTAATTACTATTTGTCACCGCAGTGAGTCCAAACATATGACCTGAAAGGGACAGTAAATCGCAGTGAGGGAGAGCACCACCAGAGCTAAGCTGAGAAGACGTGAAAGGTCTGCCTAAAGAAAGGACTGAAGGGCTGGGAAGGTGGCTCAGTGGTAGAGTGCTTGTCTCGAATGCCTGAGGCCCTGGGTTCGATTCCTCAGCACCACATAAGCAGAAAAAGCCTGAAGTGGTGCTGTGGCTCAAGTGGTAGGAAGCGCTGAGGGACAGTGACCAGGCCCAGAGTTCAGGCCCCATGACCGATTAAAAAGAAAGAAAGAGGGCTGGGAAGTTGGCTCAGTGGTAGAGTGCTTGCCTTGCATGCATGAGGCCCTGGGTTCAATTCCTCAGCACCACATAAGCAGAAAAAGCCGGAAG